GTGGTAGTGGGTTGTGGTGGTGGTGAGTGATGGTGGGTTGTGGCGATAGTAATGGTGGTGGTGGTAGTGGGTTGTGGTGGTGGTGAGCGATGGTGGTGGTGAGTGATGGTGGTGGTGGTGGGTTGTGATGGTGGGTTGTGGTTTGATCTGATGAGGAAGTAATGGTGAGGTCAGCAGGCTGTGGGGTGATGTGGATGGTGGAAATAAACTAGCAATTGTAATATTACTGGCATAGTTAACGCTCGTCTTTGGTCAAGTATTAGTTGGGTGGATACCAGATGTAGTGCCATGGTGTGTATATGGAACACAGTGCAAAGTTAGCTCCCGTATACGTCAGGGGAGTCGTAACAACCTGTGCTTCAAGTGTGTGTGTGTGTGTGTGTGTGTGTGTGTGTGTGTGTGTGACCAGCAGGGCACAATATTGAGTCTCAAGTTGCGCTTACCAATCAGACCGAGAAAAAAAAATTCTTCGTTATTTTTTTTTTACTTTCTTATCATATCTCCGTTGAGGGTAATCATTAACTTTATAAAATGTATTAACAAGACTGGCATCTATTTAAGAATATCAAATTTATATATATTAACCATTAATTGCTGTAAAACATCATGATGAAATGTAACGTGAAAATTTACTCGAATATGTTACATTAAATTGTTAAGCTGAGACGCTATGAGTATATTTTGTCAGAGATAAAAGAAAAATGATCAGAAAAAGTCCATACAACTTTAATATGAGAAATTATTAACATAAGTGGCCACAGTCCAAGAGATCGCAGAAGCCGGAACATCGGGTCAATTGGTGGGTTTAAAATTGTAACAATATACGATACCCTAGTAGTATGTCTATTAGGACAAAATATACACTGTCCATCAACACGGATGATAGATGCAGTGCAGGGCGGATAACACAAAATGAGATAATGAGGACATTAGAATGATCAACCCAGGTGAAGAATATAGGCAACGAGAAGGCGAGACAGAAAGAGAGAAGGGAGGGGGAACGATCAACACAGATAATAAAATCAAGAATCGAGGGGGATGATCAACGCAACACCAAGACGAAGGAGGCGACTAGAGGAAAGATGGGCAAGAAGGGCAGGGATGAGTGAGGTGCTGGGTTACAACCGTCATGTTTGCACGTCAGTATACATCCCGTCAGTTGTTCACCACCAAACTTGAAGACACCACACTGGGAGTCCATGTTCTCTAGCACACAAGTCCTGATCATGAGTGACTCTCCCCTGGCAGCTGAGGAATGGTGGAAAGATATACATGTTAGTAACTTTTGGACCATGACATACTGTAAACACTCCTTTATACAATAATATCGGTTTACACATTCCTCTACTGTGTGTTGCATCGACATAATTAATATTTACCAGTTTATACGCTTCCACTTGTCTGGCTATTTACTGAATATATATCTCCTGTATCTATGTTATGTTATCCTAAGTATTAAATAAAATAATTTGAGTCACATAATATTGTTTGTGCCAAGGAGTAAATCTCTTACATGCCTTCACAACTAAAACACTAATATTAATAATTAACAAGTGCCATAAAATCTTGGTACTGTAGTATTTTAAACTAGCAATCCTGTTCGTTTATATCCCCTAAAGATGCCTTAACAACGACAGGAAGCAAGCTTAGCGTTAACACTTACACACAAAGTGTAGAAAGTCATGTTATGGTGGTCACTTGCGTCTTTATCTATCTATCTATCTATCTATTAACAAAGTTATGTTCACATTGTTGTCACTTGCCGGAAGTGCCGATGATCTTGACGCAGAAGTTAGCGGGAAACTGGCCGATGTGACGCTCCTTGGGTACCTGGCAGTTCTCAGCATAGGTGGAGAGCGCAGGGTGGAAAGGGTCCTCACAGTTGATGTCACTTCCATTCTTGGAAGAACACACGTAGCAGCTGATGCCATTCACAGCTGTAGAGGGAGGGAGAATAGAAGGGAGAGGAAACGGATAAAAAATAGAGGACCATATGGAAGGAGAGGTGGCGGAGTAAAAGAAGGTGGAATTTGAAGTTTTTAGGAAGGGGGTGAAGGAAATAAGAGATGGGATATATGTGGGAAGGAAATGGAAAAAAAAGAGATAGTAATTGAAAAGGGCAGAGAAATAGGAGAGAAGAAGAATCGATGTGAAAGTTGTAGAAGGAAGGGCAGTCAGTAGATAGGTTAGAAGGAACAGGAATGGATGACTGGAAACAAATGTAGAGAGGCGTATTCGTCAAATCTTTATAAATTTCAAATTCTTAAAACTAAGAAAATGTGACCGTTGGTGATATAGGAAAAATATTTTAAATTTTTTTTAAAGAATTTAAAGAATTATAAGTGTAGGCTTGCAAATCTTTTGATGTTACAAAACAAAGTTCTTGTTGATAGGAGACAATAGTACTGAAATGCAAAGCTTTTGTTGATATAGAACTAAACTATGTCTCACATTTGCTGATATGTGACACAAAATATAAATTCATATTTCTTCTGAAACGTGACAAAAATATAAAGTTACGAGAAAGTGTAAAAATATGTTGTTTTTATTTTGTTACGGGAATTAGCCCACCCGGGCACAAGTCGAACGACCCACAATGGGGCCGAGGGGGCGAAAAAATAAGAATAGAACAAAATTAAAACTAGAAAGGAATAAGGTTACAGTCGGCCCTTAACATACGCCCGGGTTACGTAACGGAGATACCAGTGGATGTTAAAAATCCGCGTATATGTGCTGCCCCCCCGCCCCCCCCAAAAAAAACCCTGGTCCCCCCATGCCCTTATTTACAGTATATACCTGTGTGTAGTTCAAGTTTTTAAGACCAAATTATTTGGCAAAAAATTGGGGGTCGACCTCTAAACGGGTAATAGTTTCGTTAGGTTGAAAAATATTTACCAGTAACTACCAGTAAACAATGGAAACGATGCACCAACGCACCACCAGCTGTGAGTGTCGGTACAGTTGCCAGGGCAGATCTCTTGCGTCATCATAGCAAGCCCAAAGTAGCCAAATCCATGGTATGGTAGCACAGGACGATGTAAAACAAAGTACAGTATTCATTTATTAAAGTTTATTTATAGATACTGTACATAAATTTTTGTTCATTACATTTGAAACATCAATCTTTGTTAATTAAATTTGAAACAAAAGAAAACTACGATACCGTATTTTCGTTAAAATATTACATCACAAGTATATTTTACCTTAACTGTGACTGAATGAATATAGGTATTCTCAGAAATAAATATGGAAATATAATATTTTTGCTGGAATGACTTACATATTACAGTGGAAAGTGGGATAAAATCATGACGAAAACAATGACTTTCGCTTTCTTTCGTTATTCAAAAGATTTTACCGTAATTGCTTTTCGAATGGTTTTCAGTTAAAAAACTGTTGTACTCGTACTGTATTACAATAATATTCTATCCTATCATTAGCCTTATAATCCCACAACTGAAAACCATTCGAAAAGCGATTACGGTAACATCTTTTGAACGAAAGAAAGAGAAAGTCATTGCTTTCGTCACAATTTTATCCCACTTTCCACTGTAATACGTACATCATTTCAGCAAAAATATTACATTTCCATGTTCTCAGAAATAAATGGTAGTTTTGTTGAAACGTAATGTACAATATTTAATATTAAAATGCAAAAATAGCTATAAAAACAATTAATACACCCGTAATGTACTGGCTGGCATCTCCACTCGTCCCTGCTCCTGTTGTTGTTAACAAATTTATTGGCAGAGCTTGTAGTACAGTTTGCCTATTCTGAGTAATTCAGTCAGGTCTTGACACTGAGGGTGGTATCACTTCTCACTGTCACGCAGGACAGAGGTTCACACACAAAGAAATACATCATATTCAATAACAACTATAAATGTATATAGGTCAGATTCATATGGGTAATGTCACTGTTCACTGCCATGCAGGACAGAGGCTCGTACACAAAGAGTTGCATCATATTCATTGACAGTACATATACATATATGTAAACACACACACACACACATATACATACATATATGTATATACATACACATACACGTACATGCACATATACATGCACACACGCACACATACATACATATACGTTGGTCAGATTCATGTGGGTAATGTCACTTTCCACTGCCATACAGGACAGAGGTTCGTACACAAAGAATGCATCATATTCATTGACACTATATATAGGTCAGATTCATGTGGGTAATGCCACTGTTCACTGCCACGCAGGACAGAGGTTCGTACACAAAGAAGGAAATACATCACATTCACCAGCAGCATATATAGGTCAGTGGATCACATACAATGGAGTCATATTCTAATTGAAGACTATTCAGTGTGGGCTAGCGCGTCCAAGGTCACCACTCCTCCCAACTCGCTCCCTCCTCCACCTCCTCACCGTTACTACTGCCGACAACGAACACAAATGTTTTGTGAATAACTGCACCTCCACTTCCTATGTACAGTACTGAACTGTGCATTTTTACAAACATTAAACATGGCAAGAAAAGCTTGTGGGGTTCAAAATGTTTGGTGTTCACTCAGGATGGGTTGGAGAAAGGAAACTCACAATGTGCTATATACATGTTGTATTGGATGTACAATGCAGCTTGGTGCTGGGAAGGCAGCATGGTTACAAGCGTGATGTAGAGAGAGCTGGTTGGTGAGGATGCTCAGAGAAGGACAGCTTGTGGGTCGCCATGCTCGCCGGCGGGAGCGAGGACCGCCAGGCAGGCGGAGGAGGAGCGAGGGCTGCCAGGCAGCGGCGGAGGAGGTGTTGCTGGCTGCGGCTGTAGGTGGAAAGAGACAGGTCACCAAGAGGTCAGGTCTTAAATAGCGGGGGTAGGCGTGGCTTAGTAGTTGACCCCCGCTCTGTGATGTATGGCGGCGCTGGTTGACCTAGACCACGAGGCATACACTGGGGAATTGGTGGGGTCGGCTACTCGGCGACAAACAGCGTTTGTAGGGGAGAAATCCACTACAAGCTATTAAAAAAAAAAGAGATAACAATTTCACTTTACTGTACAGTACCTATCCTCGGCGACAGGACGGGTGTCATCGGGCTCATCGTCACTCAATTCCATAACGGGTGGTGAAGTGGGGGCGACGGTGGATTCAGCTGCTTCCTCACTGCCGCCAGTGATTGATGGTGTTAAATCTCTTCTTCGGTGATCAAAGAATATGGTGATGGGGAGTTGTCGTCTCTTTCTTTCATTTCTTCCATGATGTTTTTGTATGGAGCGAAAACGTCATCCATCCCTCGCATGAATTTCAGGGCACGCACCATGGAGGGGTCCATACTATAGGCCAAGTTTTTCAGTGCCTCAATATTCCTGGTCATCTCCCCCAACTTCTCCAACGTTATTTCTTGGTGCTCTTCCTCATCCTCTTTCCCTTTCGCTTCCTCTTCCTTGCCTGAGTCTACTAACTCCTGTAGATCCTCCTCGGTCAGCTCAGTGTCGTGCTCTTCAATTAGCTCCCTAATCTCGTCCTCTGCCATGTCCCGGAAGCCTTCAGCAGCCACTTTCCTTGACAGTGCCAGGGTCTTTCTGAATATTTTCATTAAAATCCATCAAAATCATTTTCCTTGTCATCGTCTTAAGCACCAAACAGCTCCTCCCAGTCTTCTCTTTGAACAGGGCTAGAGGGTACGTGTTTTTCGAATTGTTTTCAATTAAAAAAAATGTTACAGCACATGTATATTTTACCTAAACTGTGCCTGAATGAATATATTCTCAGAAATAAATAGTAGTTTTGCTGAAACGTGATGTATTTCATTGTAAAATAGGATAAAATACATGACTAAAACAAAAGACTTTACCTAACCTTCCAATGTTCAAGAGATGTTACTCGTTTTTTTAATAGTTTTCGGTTAAAATGCTGTTATATTACAATGATATTATATTCATACTGTGCTTGATATACTACATTCACGGAAATGTAATATTTTTGCTGAAATGACGTACGTATTACAGTGGAAAGTGACGAAAACAATGACTTTCGCTTTCTTTCGTTCAAAAGATGTTACCGTAATCGCTTTTCGAATGGTTTTCAGTTAAAAAACTGTTGCATCACAAGTGAATTAGGATAGAATATTATTGTAATACAACAGTTTTTTAACTGAAAACCATTCGAAAAGCGATTGCGGTAACATCTTTTGAACGAAAGAAAGCGAGTCATTGCTTTTGTCACTTTCCACTGTAATACGTACGCCATTTCAGCAAAATATTACATTTCCATATTCTCAGAAATAAATAGTAGTTTTGCTGAAACGTAATGCATTTCAATGTAAATTAGGATAAACTACATGAAAACAAAAGACTTTACCTAGCCTTCCGATGATCAAGATATGTTACTCATTTTTTTAGTAGTTTTCGGTTAAAATACTCTTATATTAGTGATATTCTATTCATACTGTGCTTGATATAATACATTCACGGAAATATAATATTTTTGCAACTATAATGCTGATGTCAACACAAGCGTGGTTACAGCGAGACTGACTGAGTGAGGGAGAGCTATGTGTGTGTGTGTGTGGTTGCGGGAGCGGGCGGTGTCCTGTGTTCGGTGCCGCGCGCGAGTTGAATGGCGCACGATTTGAATGTACTTCAATTACTTCAATGTACAGAATATTCCTCCGGCGGGGCAATCCGCGTATTTGCAAATCCGTGCATTATAAACCCGCGTATGTTGAGGGCCGACTGTACAGTACAGTACTCCATTTGCCAGAATCCCTCTTAACCGGAACTGAAATTTGCTCTGAATTTTCCAGGTTTGTGAACAATTTTCTGATGGGAGCATTTTCTGAAAAATTCTGAGGAAATTTTCGCGGCACACGGAAAATTCCAGGGATGATTTTTTTCCAGGCTTGAGAGATGAAAATTAGATTCATTTTCCAGAAATTCTGAAAAAAAATTACAGTACAGTACTGTACAGTATCTGGAAAAAATCTGGGGATGGGGGATTTTTTTTCCAGCTTTGAGAGATGAAATATTGCATCATTCTGGAAAAATCTGAGAAAATTCCGGCACCAGGAAAAATATGAGGAGAAAGGGTTTTTTCAGGTTTGAGAGATGATGTAATGCGCAATTTCCAGACATTCTGGGAAAATTTTCTCAGTACCCGGAAAATTCCGGGTATGAAAAAATCGTTTCGTTGCCCGGAAATCTCTCATTCCCGGAAGTGCTCTGCACCAATTATTCCAGCTAACGGATATATCACCTGTACATTCAACTAAATACAGTACAATAAAATAATGTCTAGTAAAGCATGACCTTTAAATCCGCAAATAAAATTTTCTGACCGGGGAAGAAGGGGAGCATTTTTACTTGTATACAATGAAATGTGTATTCCCTTCATGTGTTTGTCCTTAGGACAAATATTTCTTTTACCTATACAGTACAGTGGTCCCTTGGTTAACGAGCACAATTCGTTCCAGAAAGTTGCTCGTTAACCGAAAATTTGTTAACTGAAACCATTGTTTTAATGGGTTTTTGGGTAAATGGTTCCAGCTCACCGAAAATTACATACAAACTAAAAATAAATGTAGTAAAGTACACTTAATTTGAGGTGTACATGTAGAAGGCTCCTGGTTGATGATGATGGGAATTAGAATGGGGCTGGAGGAGAAGGGAGAAGAGAAGCATTGGGGTGGAAGAGTAGTCACCCCATGCCGCCATTTCACCCATAAAATTTTAGTTCACTTGGTGTAATTCAAGATTATTTTCTTTAAATCAACACTGCACTGCATTATATATTGTCAATATGTAAAATAAACTTCAGAATGACAAATAATTTTACTGTAAAAAAGTAAAAATAGTTTATGTTCAAGAGAGTCTGAAGCAAGCTGTTTCCTCCACTGAACAGGGACACACAATGACGCCAGTTTGGGTGTGTTGAGTGACTGTTTGGCACGCTAAAAACTAGTTCCCTGTACTTCAATTATGTTAAATAATTGTTAAAATGAGTAAAAATTATAAAATAGAACTTTTAAAATTATTGAATAGTTCAACCTTTTTGATATTTACTAAAATGGTAAGGAATTTCAGCCCTAAAACCGATTACTGTATTGGCGGACTAATACTACAGCTGGTGGGCAGCCAAATGCAGGCGAAAACATGTTGGGAAAAATTGGTAAGGAATTAGTTAACCGAAGTGAAGAATCTTATGGAAGGTAATTCGTTAAACGAAATTTCGTTAACTGAGGCGCTCGTTAACCAAGGGATCACTGTACTGTACAGTATTGTATATTAGTGTGTGCGTGTAAACACACACACACACAAAACACATGCAAATAAATAATAATGGGAAAATCCTTTCACAAATAATCAGAATTTTTTTTTTAAATGTTGTCCACCCTCAAGTACACTCCGTACTTTGTTATTAATAAAGCACGGAGTAGACTTGAGGGTAGACTCAATGTTTTTACTAAAAAATTATCTGATTATTTGTGAGAGGATTTTCCCATTATTATTTATTTGCATGTGTTTTGTGTGGGTGTTTACACACACACACACACACACATATACAATACAGGTAAAGCAGATTACTGTCTCTAGAATGAATGGCTCCCTGATCCAGCCATGAAAATGACAGCAACTTTAAAACTACTCTATGACATTCTTGGGTACATCAAGGGTGTCATCCGCGAATAATAGAGAACCGTGAAAATTTTTTTTGCAAATTATCCAGACGTACTGTACAGTATAAAGTACTTGCTAAATACTACAGTAAAACCAGTACTGTATACATAACAATTTTAGAAATAGTGTTATATCATTAATATACAAACTGCTAAAAGAATCCAGCATGGATAACCCACCTTGACAGTGAGACCATAAACATGGAGGGACCGCATGAAGCGATGGTAGCCATCAGTCTCATTAGTTGCTATTGTTAACACCAACAAATCTGAAACATATGTAAACCATTGGAAAACCAGTACAGTATATTGTACTAATTTTATTAATCAATATATACATTATCATAATTTAACAAAGCCCTAAATTTGTCAAGGTTAAAGTTTAAAGACTTATTGTACTGTACAGTATTAATATTAATTATAAAATTCTTTAAATTAAAATGTGCTAAGAAGTAAACTCACATATACTGAATGGAATAGACTACTGTATACTATATAATACTGATAAATACAGTTCTGAATGTAAAATTCTGACTTTTGCAAATGATTGGTTGCTATGATATGAGATTCTGAAAACAACAAAGTCAGGGGCAGAAATTCACATACGCCCGGTCGCCCGAGGCGACCAAAATATCATAAGGGCGACAAGATTTTACTATTTTGCTGGTCTGGGATCGCCCGATGGGCGAGTGGGCCGATGACAGTGGTAAGACACACTCAATGTGTAAAAGAGCTTCATATAGAGAATACATTATTAATGCAAGGCAAACTTTGTTGCTGTAAAAAATATTGAGAGAGGTGATGCTGCATCTATCAAGAACTGTGTTTGCTCTACGATGAATTCATGCTATGGCGAAACTTGGAAGCAGAAGCTAGTTGGCATTGGTACAGATGGGGCCAGCATTATGACTGGGTGCAGAAATGGTTTAGTAGCTCGATTGAGAAGAGATCTACAGAAACCGGAGTTGGAAGGCATCCATTGCACTGGACATAAAATTGAACTCGCTTACAAGGATGCAGTAAAGGATGTTCCAGCAGTAAGGTTGACTTACTGCTGCTAGGCATATACCTGTTCTATGAGAAGAATTCTCTCAACAGGAGCATGTTGAAGCATGCTCATGACATATGTCAGGTACCATTTCTGGTTCCAACACGTGTGGGTGGTACAAGGTGGTTCCGACATATGCTGCAGGCATTGGAGCATCTACTGAAGTGTTACAAGATTATTGTACTCCACATGCAGCAGACACAAAACCTTGATGATCCCGTGTACCACAAGGATTCATCCAGAAAAGCAAAGAACTACCTGCTCCTTCTAACCAGTGCTAACATAGTCCAGTACCTTCACCTTCTACTGGATGTGGTGGGGTGCCTTGGGGGCCTCTCAGAGCTGTTCCAGCATGGTCAAACCAATATTTCTGCTATCGTGAATGAAATTCAGACGGCAGTTGTATGTACTTAACAAATATTTGACTTGGCCAGGACCCAGCCTGAGAAGGATTATGGAAGGTGACATGACCATGTTCCAAGGAGAGAAGCCGAGTTGTAGAAGCAACACTTTCAAGACTGCAAGGCATGATATGCCGACATCACTGATTTCAAGTCTAAACAAAAGATTTATTGACCTGGACAGTACGATTCTCCAAAACGAGTGGATTCTGAATTTCAAATTGTGGCCTACAGAGTACAGTGGGAATGAAGATTTCGAGGATAGCGCTGTGCAAGCGTTGGCCCAGGCTCTTGAGAAAACACTGATGGAGGCAGAGGTGAATCCTACTTTAGTAGAGGATGAATGGACTGTCCTCAAAAGTTACATTTACAAGAGGAAGACATCACTTGTTTCAAGACTGTCTTGGCAACAAATCAACCAATCATACGGAGAAAGGTGTGCCTCATTTCTCCATCTGGTTGACCTACTGCTTTCCATTCCAGCTAGTTCGGCTGATGCTGAACATGGTTTTAGCCAGGTCAAACTCATGGTGGTTCAGTCGCAAACAGAGAGTGTTGGCAACTTCAATCCCGACAAAGCCATTGCCAGATTCCTAACAACTGGGGCCCGCCGTGTGGATGGCTACACCCACACTGCTGGCTGCAGCACAGTGGAAGATCTGGACGACAACAATGAGTTGAACGAGGAGCATGTACAGGAAATGCTTGTTCAAATGCAATGAAAAATCTGCGCTCCATGCAATTAATTTAGTTAATATGTGATTATTCCAGTGTTCACACTGTAAATCCGTACTTCATGTTAATAATTCAGTTAATATGTGATTATTCCAGTGTTGGTTTATGATTTAACATGGTTTCTACTAGTAAATAAATGTCACACAGTAAAAAGAACTTTGTATAAACCCGGTAAGTTCCAATGTTTAATGTTTCTTGGCAAATTGTTTAAGGGCAAGTAAAAATTTATAAGGACTAGTAAATTTTCAAATCTACTAGTCCTGCTGGCGACTATGAAAAAAATGGTGAATTTCTACTACTGAAAGTGCAGATACATTATCTATTAAACTGATTTCATGATGGTATTTGACAAATGTGATCAAAGTGTGATAGCCTACAAGGAAACAATTTCTTTTTCTCTTATTCTTGCAATTCTCTTCCTGTTACAGTAAATCCTGGATAACTCGCAATACAGTGTATGAGACTTACCATTCTGAGTTATAAAATTTCCCAAGTTATCAAGGCACTTGCCTCCTGCTCTTTTGTCCCATCCCAATTCCCAACTTTTTGTCCAAAATTGACCACCATAATCAGAAAACTTGCAAAAAAATTAACACTGCATCACTGCTGGCAAAGGATGAGGATATTTCAAGCTTTTGGTGCCATGTGGTAGGTGTGATGAGGTGCTCACTGCACTACAGTACAGTAGGCCCTCCAAATTTGCAGGGTTAGGTTCTCAAAATGGCCGTGAATTGCCAAATCCATGAATAACAGTTGCTGACCGGGGAGGACATTTTCACTTCTGTACAATGAAATTCGTTTTCCCTTTACGTGTTTGCCCTTAGGACAATTATTTCGTTGACCTGTATTGTATATGTGTGTGTGTGTGTGTGTCTAGACACACACACACACACATACAGTACTGCATACAAGTATACTGTATAAATATAATTTTGTACATATATACAATCAGAAAGAAATGTATTAATAATGTTGAGTTTACCCTCAAGACCACTCCGTGCTTTGTTATTAATAAAACATGGAGTAGGCTTGAGGGTAGACTCAACGTTTTTACTAAAAAATTACCTAAACAGAATTAAAATTACCTATATATAAAAATTATATATATATATATATATATATATATATATATATATATATATATATATATATATATATATATATATATATATATATATATATATATATATATATATATATATATATATATATATATATATATATATACAAATATATATATATAAATATATATATATATATATATATATATATATATATATATATATATATATACAGTAACCTCGTTTATGAACACCTCGGTTACTTGTGGTTTGGAATGTGAACTGCCTTCCATAAGGATCTTCAGGTGGTTAACGAAAAAAAAGAATTAGAAGCAAACTGCTACGAACCGACCTCCAACATGTTTTAAAGCACTTGAACGCCAGCTTTAGTATCAGTCCACCAATACATTAATCGGTTCTAGGGCTTAAATTCCTTACTATTTTTGTAAATATCAAGAAGTTTATACTATTCAATAATTTTAAAAGTTTAATATTCAATTTTTTAGTCATTTTAACAATTATTGAACGAAATTGAAGGTAAAGTGACTAGTTTAATGCGCGGCATCCAGCCTCTTAACACAGCAAACAGGCGTCAGTCTCTCTCTGTTTTCACTGGAGGTAACATCTTGCTTGAGACTCTCTTCAACTAAATGCTTTTTGTCTGTGTTTCCAAGCAAATTATTGGTCATTTTGAAATATATTTTATATATTGACAATATATAATGCAGTGCAGCATTGATTTAAAGAAAATAATCTTGAATTAAACCAGAGAGCTAAAATTTTATGGGTAAAATGGCGCCATGGGGTGACTTCTCTTCCACCCCAATGCCTTCTTTTCTTCCTTCTCCTCCACCCCATTCTAAATCCCATCATCATCATCATCATCCAGGAGCCTTCTACATACACACCTCAAAGTAAGTGAACTTTTCTACCATTTTTGTTGAATTTAGGAAATTTTCGGTGAGCTGGAACCAGTACCCAAAACCCATTGAAACAATGGTTTAGGTTAACAACGTTTTCAGTTATGACGACCTTCTAGAGCGGATTGAGTTAGTTAACGAGACACTGTATATATATATATATATATATACACTGTATATATATATATATATATATATATATATATATATATATATATATATATATATATATATATATATATATATATATATATATATATATATATGTAAATCACAATGAAAAGCGTGGATGAATAAATCTTGATAAAATCACACGGGAAAAGGGAAACAACGGAGCACCTTAGCTTTCGTCTTTATTCAAGACATCTTCAGAGACAACTGGATTACATGGACAGAGGAGGCTTAAATATACAGGGTGACCTTATAAAACATGAGGTCAGGTCATAATGAGGATTAGTGGATATCATCATTATGATACTGACCTCATGTTAGGTACCCTGTATATTAAGCCTCTCTCTGTCCATGTAATCTAGTTGCCTCTGAAGATGTCTTGAATAAAGGCGAAAGCTAAGGTACTCCGTTGTTTCCATTTTCCCGTGTGATTTTATCAAGATATATATATATATATATATATATATATATATATATATATATATATATATATATATATATATATATATATATATATATATATATATATACAGTGAACCCTCACTTTATGCGGTCAATTAAACACACGGCGGCCCGCGTAAAGTGAACAACATAACATATGGGATTAATTGAAAGAGAGACATGGCCGACCCCCAAACTCCACTTTTTCCCGACACAATACGTACGTTTTAGTAAAAATAACATCTTAACTTTATGATGGTATTCACACACACACATAATATAGAAGGGAACAATCAATAAGAGAATAATATACTGTAGGTTAGGTTAGAAAAAACAAGGTTAGGGTTAACACTTACGTTAGTAGAAGAGATGGGTCGGCGCACGGGAATGGAGGCTGGTTCCGAGGCAGAGGGCAGGCTACTGGCCCTTAGGTGAGTCT